TTCCCACCTGGTTGGCCCCGTGATGGACCCCCTGAATCACTTTGTCTGCCTCCTTCCCAACCTGTCCAGCAGCGTTGTTGACCCCATGGACAAACTTCTCTGCTTCCTTTCCTGCTTGTCCGCCGCCACTGTTGATTCCATGGGCTACTTTGTCCATGCCGTGGTTGAGCCCCTGGATGCCCTTGTCCAGCTCCTTGCCGGCATGGCTCCCCAAGTTGCTAAGTCCATTGAAAACTTTCTCCACTTCCCTTCCAGCTTGAGTGATTCCATGATTGATGCCATCCAGGGCCTTGCCCACCTCTCTCTCTGCATTGCTCAGCCCTCGGTTGATTCCTTCAATGACCTTCTCAAGGGGGTCATCATTGGCCGCCCATCCAGGCAGGGCCCCCAACAGCAGTAGGAGGGAGCAGCAGCTGACCAAACTGGCAAGATGCATAGTGTTGGGAGGTGGGGAGCGTGCAGAGAGGAGCCAGCGAAGCAAAGCTTCTATTTATCCTCTCTCCCCTCCCTATGCTCCACCCCTCATGACTCAATTACCCCAGTGAGCCACTGACTCGGTCCCCAGTCAGGGAGGTATTTCCCAAGGAGATTTGGGGTTGAGCAATGAAGAGGAGGAGGAAGAGAGGGTGAGTCATGAATGGAGAACACTCGCATGGCATCTTTGCTCCTTGCCCAGCTCGGGCCCTCCACCCGAGCCCAGATGTCTGCCCTCCCACCCACCTCCTCTTTTCATTCCTCACCCACTAGCCAGGTCTCCTCTCTCCCAACCCCACCTTCAATCACCCTCCCCACCCCCCATCCTGGTTCCTTAGCATCTTCACTCCTCTCAGGGGATCTAAGGATCCAGTTTCCCCAGCACTGAAATTCTAGAATGATGGGAGATGCAATCAGCAGGAGGGGAGCACTCTCAGGAAGATGAGGCAGTAATTAGCCCTTGTTCTTACTGTGCTTATTGACCTTCCCCCGAAACTTACTGTCCTCCAGCCACACGGGACTCCTCCTTGGTCCTCAAACACACTAAGCTCATTCCTGCCGCCTGGCCTTTGCACTTGCTGTGCTGTCGGAATGCAGAACTCAGATCTTCACATGGCACGTTCCTCCTCATTCTGTTTTTGGCTCAAATGTCACCTTCTCAAAAATCCTTCCTTGGCCATCCCCCAGTCATACTCTGTAATATTATCCTTTGGTTTTTATAGCACTTGCCACAATCCAAAATTACCTTTTTAATTGTCTGTCTCACCTATCAGATTATAACCTTCCAGAGGACAGAGCCTATGTCTGTGTTGGTTACTTCTATATGCCCAACTCATAGAACATTGCCAGGGATTCAGTAAATATTTATCGATTGAACAAATGGATGGATTAGAAGAAGCCAAGGGAAGACAGGCTAGGCCTGAGTCTGAGTCTCAGAGTCTCAAGGTGCTGGGGGGAAAGGTTCCTGGGTCCCCAGAGCAGCCTAGGGTCCCTTGGGGAGGTTTGTAGTTTGGAGCCAGGATCACATTCTCACCACAGAACCCTGGCCTCCTGCCTCCCAGCCCTTGGGCAAGGGCAGGGGGCTGACTGCCATGGGCTGGGACAGGCTGCCGTGTCTCCTGAAAAGCCGGTTGAGGCAGCCATGGGGAGGGGCTGAAGACCCGGCGCAGCGGGACTGTCAGCCAGAACCTGGGCTGGGGGCCAGGAGCCATTCTTCCTGCCCTCCTCCCCCTCGAGATGCTTAAGTCACTGCCTGAAGCCCCAGGTGTTGACATGGTGGCCCAGGGTTGGACGGGGACACAGCTGAGAGTTTGGCCTAGGTGTGAAGAGGGATAGCAGAAGGGCAGGTGGTGGCTGGTAGATCTGTGGCAGAATATCTACCTGGAGCTAGTTTAGAGGGAGGTGGAGACCAGAAAGATGAGAGCCCATGGGTGGGTACGGCTGGGTGCAGGAGTGAAAGATATTTGGGTTTTGGTGCCAAGGGGAGAGACTGAGAGAAGGGGTGGAGGTGGGATTGTTAGTGGGATGGCCAGGCAAGAAGGAATGTGCAGGGTGTGAGCAAGTGGGGGTGGTAGAGTTATGTGTGTGGGTGCCCAGGTGTGGCGAGAATCTGCACGTGTTTTCAGGTTTTGCTCAAACAAGAGCAACAAGGCCCACTCCCCTTAGAGAACCCAGGGTTCCACCCCAGATCCTGGACCCTTGGCTCCACCCAGAACCAGGCATCCCAGACCCAGAGGCCCAGGAGCTTCTGCCTTCTCTGGGTTTTGCCTATAGAAGGTGACTAATTGTGCCACCTCTCCAGGATTGAGCTCATCAAATCTGGTTCCCAGTTTCATGCTCCAGGGCCAAAGCTAAGTCCCTGGGCAACCTCAGGTGTGGCTTTTCTGCCCTGTCCAGTGCCTAAATGAGGGAGTTTCCTGTGCCAGGAGATTGCTGGGTGGGGTGCTCCACAATCCTAACCTGCGCCAAAGTTGACAGGTGGGGTTTCTCCATTTCTTTCCTCCCTTCTCTCTGCCCCGTCCTCCCATCTTCTGTCAGCCCCAGGCCCTCTCCTCAGTGCTCCATTCCCATTGGCCACTATTTGATTCAAGACTTTGGCATCCGTCTCTGTGAGATTGGCCTTGAGTTGTCCCTTCTTTGCCACCCTCTGCTGGTCTTAGTAACTTGGCTGTGCTGCTTTCCTAGAGCGAGTGGAGAAGGCTTCCATCACTGTGCAGTCACAGCTCCCACAAAGCACTCCCAAGAAGTTTGCAATCAAAGTACACACAGTGTGCTTGCCAACCCATGGGGCCTGCCCGGAGCCTCTGGTTAGGATCTACAACACTTCCTATAGACTGGCAAATATTTGTTTCTGATGCTTTCTGGCAGAGCTTGCCATAAAGTCATCAGGAGCTGAATCATCCTTTGGAGGATAGATCTTAACTCTTTGTCTCTTCTCTTGTTACTAGCCTACTCAGATTTGTCATTTCTTTTTGTACCAGTTTTGATCCTTTATATTTTCTAAGGAATATTTTAAATACACCGAGATTTTCATGTCTATTATTATAAAGTTGTACAAAATCGGCCCCTTTCCAAGTCCTGGTTTCATGTGGACTTTTGTCCCCCCTTGATCATACATGTTAAGTTTGTCCCTCGTTGTTTACTTTTTTTTTTTTGGTCTTGGTTCCTGAAATCTGCCCATCTCTACACCCAATTTATTTTCAGTTCCACTTCTCCCGGGCCATCCAAGCAGGAAGGCCTCACCCTCACCCTGTCCCACAGCAGGTGCTTAGCAAACTGAGTTCCCATGGAGGTTTGGGGAAGAAAGAGGTGATGTCATTCTGCCCCTTCTTGCTTCCACACCTCGCTGAGATAGTGCTTCCTTCCTAGCCCAAACCTTCACACCCCTAAATCTGTGTGTCAACTGGCCCTGCAGGTGAAGATACCCGCCTGTGAGTCACAGATGTGCAAGCAAGCCCCCTCCCCAGTGCTTCAGGCGAAGGGAGCCATCTGTCCATTTGTTCTTCTCCAAACGTTTATGGAATCCTGCTTAGTGCCAGGCACAGTTCTAGGTGCTGGAGGCCCAGCGGTGAACAAAACAGACAAGCAACAGGCAACAGGCATGCCCTATAGGGGAGACAGTGAACAAGTAAATCAAGATGACAAACTACATGAAAAGCCACAAGGAAAAGAATGGGGTGTTGTAAGAATATGACATGGAGGTTGCCTTAAATTGGAGAGCAGAAGAAATCTGAGGAGGAGACATTTATTTATTCATTTTGGTATTATTTATTGAGTTGTCACCTTTTAAGTGCCAAACATTCTGCTAGTCAATGGGATATAAAACTGATGAGGTAGACAAGCCCTCTGCCCTCCCAGAGTTTGGTCTAGTGGGCAGAGGCAATTGGTAATAAAACAAATGAATAAACAAGATGATTTGTTAGAGAGAGACATATGCTGTGAGGAAAATAAAAATAATAGTATGACCCTGGAGTAGTTTTGCACAGTGTAATATCTAACCCAGGATGGGAAGTCAGACAAGTCTTCCTGGAAGGGGGTACATTGAGGAGGTGGAGGTGATGGCAGATAGTGACAGAAAAAGGGAAGAACTTCAGATGGGGAGTCAGGAGGGCCTCTTAAAGGGTGGCATCTGAGAGAAACCAAGATGCAGCCAGCTGAGGGAAGTCCTCATTAGGGCTTCCAGGCAGAGGAGAGTGGGGGAACTACGCGCGGG